CTCCCAGGCCCCTTTTCAGCTCCCCTTTGAGTCTTTGCCATGACTGTCTTTCTTTTTGCTTATATTGTATCCCCTGTGTTTAACATGGTACCTGGCATATAGAAAGTGTTGAATAAATGCTTAATGACTGCTAGGACCGACTTACGGTGGTTTCTCTTATCTAAGGAACACAGAATGGACCAAGTCAGCCTGGGCTTCAGGTACCTCTCTCCTTCGATCAGGAAAGGGGCCTGGAAAGCCACACAAACTTTCCTCTCCCTTCCATTTGCTAGGGTGGACTACCACTTAAAAGGTAGCATTTAAGGGGTACAAAAATGCTTTGGCTTGCAAATTATTTTTTATCAATTGCAGCAAGCCCCAGTGCATCACAGGGCCTCCTTAAAGAAACACATAGCTATTCAAAGAAAATTCACAAACACAGAAGGCCTAACTCCAGTCTGATTATCAGCTTTGTCAGGCATTACTTTGCACAGTACCTTGCATAGAATCAGCACTTAACAAATGCTGATTGAATTAAACTGAACACAGGGGATGTGGAGTACAGAGTAAATGCTTTAAAAAGGCTTACAGACTGACTCAATGATGGTGGTAGAGTTGTCAAGAGCCCGGGACTCAAAAGTCATCAGACCTGGGTTCAAGAGCAAGTCAGTGAATCTCTCTGAGACTCAAATTTATCATCTATAAAAAGGGGATAATAAGACAATAACTCTCATGGAATATTAAAAAGAAAAAGGATTTGTAAAATGTAAAGAAATATAAAAGGCAAGTTATTTCCTTTTCTGTTTTTATGGGCACAACTCAGATTAGCTACAGAGAAGGAATTAAGACTTGATTTAGTAACTGATATCCACATATGTCTTAAAGTTTGAAAAGTATTTTGCACAATTACCCCATCTACAGCTCACTACAATCCGGGGAGACAAGCGTTACAGGTACTGTTATCCCTACTTCACAGCTGAAGAAACTTACGCTCCAACGTTCAGTGAATCGTACATGGTCACAAAGCAAGAGAACTCAAGGGAAACTCTGTGGACCCCTTCTCCTGAGCCTTCCTGATTCCAAGTCAGCTCTCCCCTACCACTCTCCCTCATGGAGAGCAGGGAGGCAGTTTTAAGTAGACCCAGAAAGATGAAACAAATTTGCCTGAGGGTGTTGGGGAGCCCAAAGCAGACAAGAGGATAGCACCGGGCTGGTAACAGCACCACCTGGTTTGCAGTATCTACCTCACATGGACATTTTAAGGGCAGTGCTTTCTAAACTATAATGTTAATAAGAAACAGGAGGTAGCTAGTCTTTTCTTTTTTATTGACATGACTAAAATGAGCTATATTGGGTAAATTAATTGTGATGCAAGGAAAAGAAGAGAAAATTCTGGAGAAAGGCCTGAAACAGGCTTGCCTTGGACTATGGACAGCCAAAGGGCAACGGGAAGGCAAAGGGTGAGAACAAGAAAGTACAGGAGAAATAAGCGTAGAGGGGCAGCTAGGGGGCGCAGTGGATAGAGCACTGGCCCTGGAGTCAGGAGAACCTGAATTCAAATCTGGCCTCAGACACTTGAACACTTTACACTTACTAGCTGTGTGACCCTGGGCAAGTCACTTAACCCCATTGCCTAGCCAAAAAAAAAAAAAATGTAGAAAACAAGACTTAATCTCCTGATTCACATCATCAATTCTATCATCCACAAAGATAGGCCTACAACCGAACTCATGGCACTCACAAATGTGTTGCTTCTAAGATCCCAAACTCTGAAATTCTCCTCTTAAATCATCACCTATAATTTCTTCCATTTCTCCCACTGCCTGCCTCATTTCTTCCTGAAGCCCACTGAAGACTCGATTGTCACTGCTATCTTCAATCCCTCTACCCAGTCCTCCCTGTTCCCCTCTAGCTTCACATTTCTCCCTTCATAGTTCTGACCATATAGTAAACCAATATAACTGACTACATACTATGAACCAATTGTGCCTCTGTCCTATTGTCACTCATGCCTTTCCAAACCCCAAAGCTGTCACCACCCAACTTTTCTGGCTTTTCCTCTCACGCTAAGGAATGTGACTGAAGGTAAATTTGGAAGTGAAGATCAGATCAACTACAAAGCTTAACTGGGCCTTTTCCACTACACAGCGATTTTTTTATTTTCCCACAGTGGCTGTTCCTAACCTCTTCTCTCCTCAAATCTCTTAACTCATGACTTCTCCCTCCCTTTCTCCTCTCAGTAGACAATCTGCTTCTTACTTCTTTACAGAAATTGAAATCATCTATTAATGAGCCATGTTTTATTAGCCCTATTCTATACCTCCAATCCTTTCAATGTCATCATCCTCTCCCTGATTTGTGATTCCTTAGCTACAGTCTCTGAAGACGTAAACCTTCCAACCCATTCCAGGGTCCTTAAGTTAATTCAATCAAAAACATCGAACACCTCCAAAACTTTGTGCTAGCTGCTAGGGATACAGGGACAAAATGAAAAATCATTCCTTCCCTCAAGGCATACTCTACTGGGAGATACAACTTTTACACAGTTAAGTAAATAAATTATCCCAATCCCTTTCCTTTCTTCCAGAAGCTTGTCGCTTCAATTTCTCTTCATCTACTGGCTACTTCCCTGATGCCTAGGCCTCCCCAATCTTTACAAAAAAAACAAAAAACCTTTATTTGACCTTAACATCCCTTCAAGCTACTGTCTGATGGTGTTTTTCCCTTTCACAGCTAAATTCCTAGAAAAAACTGTCTATGATCACTTTTTCCTCACCTCTTGCTCACTGCTCAAACCCGTGAAATGTGGCTTCTCACCACTTCCATCAACAAGTCAATCAACAAACATTTATTTAGCACCTACTCTGTGCCAAACACCGTGCTAGGCATTGAGATATTAAAACAAAGAATAAAACAATCTCTGCTGTCAAAGAACATGCATTCTAACAGAGGAAACAAATACTACGGAATTAATATAAAGAGAATCAATGTAATGGAGTTTGGGAGGGAGGGCATTAGCAGTTGGGGGATCAGGAAAGGCTGTATGTAGAAGGTAGCGCATAAACTGTGTTTCGAAAGAAGGGAAAGATTCTCATAAGAGAGAGGTAAGGAGAGATTACATTCCAGACATTGGTTGTTGTTCAGTCGTTTCAGCTGTGTCCAACTCTTTGTGACCCCATTTGCGGTTTCCTTGGCAGAGATACTGGAGTGGTTTGCCATTTTCTTCTCCAGTTCATCTTACAGATGAGAAAACTGAGGCAAACAGGGTTAAGCTAAGGGTCACACAGCTACATAGTGTCTAAGGCCAGATCTGAACTCAAAAAGAGGAGTTTTCCTGACTCCAAGCCTGGCACTCTAACCACTGTGTCACCTAGCTGCCCTTGGCCACCTCGCTGCCTTTGTGGGGCAGCACAAAGACACAAGATGAAAGATGGAGAGTCATGTTGTGAGAAGTAGATAGAAGGACAGTTGGACCGCACTGAAGAGTATGGGAAAGGGAGAAGTGCACAATGAGACTTGAATGCTAGGTTGGGGCCAGGTTGTGAGGGGTTTTAAAACCTAAACAAAGGCATTTCTGTTTTATCCTACAGGCATGAGACTGCTTTCTCCAAGAATCCCAACAATCGCTTAACTTATCCAATGGCCTTTTCTCAGCCCTTGACTGTCCTGAATGCTGACACTTTGGACACTGCTAACTCATTGCCCTCTGAATCCTCACCGTCCTCCCCCCTCCCACCCCCACTCCCAGCCCCCCAAACTGCTCTTGTCTATTGCTCTGACTATTCTTTTCAGAACCTTCTCTCTTGCCTGGACCACTGCAATGGCCGCCTAAGTGGACCCCTCTCCAATCCATCCACTGCATAGCTGCCCAAATAACCTTCCTTGAAGTCTGAGGGTGACCCTCTCACTTCCCTCTTCAAACCTCTTCAGTGATGCTTGAATCTCCTCTAGGAGAAAATGCAAACCCTGACAACCTCTAGTCTTGCTCCACATTGCCCCTACAGATTTATTCCTCCCTTCAGGAACTCGAGGTGCCCCTTACACCGAGCAACCAGCTCCTCTTGACCCCGGCTTTTCATCTCTCCTCTCCGGCCCTCCCAAAGGATAGCCTCGACGCATGGAGGGTACTGCCCAATCGGCTCATTCTGTGAAAATGCTCAGCTTCCTTCAAGGCTTATCTTGGGTATCACCCCTCCTCCTCAAATCCTTTCCTGATGCCCCCAATTGTGAGTGCTCATCTTCCTTAAAGTATGTTATGTTTAGTTATCTGGGTACATGTGGTATCCTCCCAGGAGAAAGGAAGGTCCCTGAAAAGAGGGATTGTTTTAAGTTTTTGTCTTTATAAGCCAAGCATTTAACCCAACTACTATGTGCCCAATAAATGCTCACTTAAGAGTCCCTATTAAGCCCTATCAAAAATACACTAAATGAAGTTGTGCTAAAATGATAACCTTTCCTTGACACCAGTAAGCAAGTAAACACAGCTTTCACAACAAAAATGAGGGCAAGGTGCTTTTAAAAGGAACAAGGATTAGAACGAATCGAGTTATTTGCCTCACATATACAGTACTATTGTAGTATCAAATATAGCGATGAGCTGACCTTTCAGGAAACTAAGATCACCAGCTATCCCAAGCTTTAAACTACAACTTTAAATGGCCCTAATATGAATCATAGCAACAAGATTCAGAACTGGGTGAAACATCAGTTCTACTTTATACTTCACTTAATTGGCATCATCAAATATTAAATGCTCCACGCACATAGAAAAAGTACTTATCAGTGCCTGGTTACTGCATTTGTGAAATAATGTTATCTAAAGTTCTTTTCACAAAGACCCAGCAGAAACCATAACAGAAAAAGCTGCTAACCAATTTTTCTCTGCAGAATAGGGAAATCATACACGACTAATTCTCCAACCCTCAAACCCCACTCCAATCTCATCTGCAAAATGCCAAAAGAAAACGAGTCACATGGTTATCGTCTATTCCCATTTCAAGATAACAAACACGTGAAGTTACCTGAAATTCTGCGGCACTGTTACGCAGCTGGTTCACATTGGGTAATGACCCTCCGTGGTACTGGTTTCGAGACTGTGTGAGGCGTAGTTGCTGAAGCTTCTGAAACTGAACCTAGGAACAAAAATTCCAAAGACATTCAGAGAGGGCTGCAAAGTTCTGACAGAAACAAAAAGGCAGTGCCAGATCATCATTCCCTGGACTCATTAAGCACGCCTCTAGGGGCCTCCAGGTATAAGAGGACCCCAAAGTTAGGATGATCAAAGTCTGGCTAACAGAAAAGTCTCAAAATCCAAGTTGAAAAGGACTTCAGGTCTAGTTCAATGCATACCTAAACAGGACTCCCTCCCTCCCTTTCAACATCCCTCCCAAGGACTTAGCTAGCTTCCACTGGAACACCTCCAGAGCTGGGAAATTCTCCCTACCTCCTGAGGCAGTTGATTTTATTTTTCAAGAGCTCAGAAGTTTGTCTTTATAGTAAAAGCTAAACCTGCTTCCCAGTACCTTTCTCCTATTTCTCCTAACTTCTGCCCTCTGGGTCCAAGCAGAATCAGTCTAATCTCTCTTTCGCATGAGTTCCAACACTTGAAGATAGTTATCTGGATTCAAGTCTTCTCCAGGCTAAATATCCCCTTTGGTCATTCCTCATGTGGCACAGTCTCGAGCTCCTTCCCCATCTTGGTTGTTCTCCTTTGAATATGGCCCACCTACTCAAAGTGAGGTATTTTAAACTGAATCCTGTGTTTCTGAAGTGTTCTGCCCAGGGCAGAGAACAGCAGAGCTACGACTTCCCTTAGTCTGGACACTATGGCTCCCTTGGCCCAGCCTAAGGTGGTATTGGCTAGTTTGGCTGTCTCGTCACTTCTTTACTCATACTGAGGCTAATAATAAAAGCCAGCATTTATTAAGCACTTTCATGTTTGTGAAGTATATCATCGATATACTCTTGATTTTCAAAATAACCCTGGGGGAGGGGGTTAGGTGATATTATTATTCCCATTTTAAAGATAAGGAACCTGAGGATTCCAAAGGATGCTACAGTAACTCACCCAAGGTCATACAGTGTATCTGCCCCCAGTATCTGGGGCAGGATGTCAACTCAGGACTTCCTGATTTCAAGTCCAGTGCTCCATCCACTGTAGCACCTAGCTGCCTCTAGATCTTTTTTCACCTAGGAAACTAGATTCTAGAATAAGAGAGGTCCTTGGAGGTCATCTAATTCAAATGCCTAATTTTACTCACAAATAAACTGAAGCCCAGAGAAGTTATATGACTTGACCAAGTGGCAAAGCAAGGATTTGAACCGAGGTCCTTCAAATGCAGTTCTAGCACTCTGAACTGGTGTTCACTCCTCCCCTACCTTATACTTGTACAGCTGATTATCTGAACCCAAGGGCAGCACTTTATATTTGTCTCTAATAAATTTCATTTCATAGATAGAACCCAATGAGATCTTTTTATATCCTAACTGGTATCTAACATTTAGGATTATTCCTCCCAGTTTTCTGTCATCTGCAATTTGATGTTTGTCATTCATGCTTTCACCCAGATCACTGACAAAAATGTTATCATTTCATTGAAAATTGGTTAAAAACAGCATAGGGCCAAGAACCTTCAAGCCCTGAAGCACACTACTCAAGGACTCCTTTCATGTAGACAGCTAACCAATAACAACTCTTCTTTGGATCTGGTCATTCAATCTGTTCCAAATCCACCTAGCTATACTATTACCTAGCCTACATCTCTCCATCTTGTCCACAAAGATAAAATGAGACTTTCTCAAAAGTTTTGCTGAAACCTAGGAGTAAGCCACGTCGACAGCATTCCTCCAATCTACTAGTCTAATAAATCAGAAAGAAAAGGAAATGGTTAGTCTGGCATGACCTACTCTTGACGAACCAATACTAGCTCTTAGTGGCTACTGACTTCCTTTCCAAATGTTCTCACCCCTTTGACAAGAGTCTCCACTTTAAGGCCTGAGGCACTCAAGACAACATGGGAACCAGAGTTTCTTCCTCAGTTGCCCTTCCTACCAACCTTACTCTTGATGCAGTCCACAGAACACCTGGGAGGAACTGGCCCTGCCTATAACAGAAGGTCCACAGGGCAGAGTGGGGAGAGATCAGAGACCCTTGGCAACAATCATAAGAGTCAGAACAAGGAGAAAAATGGTAGAGAAGTACAATGACCACACTTGTCCCTGTCCCCAGTGAGATACCTCCGGCAATTTTCTAGAAGAGAAGAGAAGACTCTTGATCATCTTGTTGATCAGTTCAACTAATTTGGGTATGGAAAGGTGAGGAGAATGACAGGGATCTGTGGCCTATGTATATACGAAGGTGTGGATTTTCACTGTGGAAAATGTCTCACAATTCAAAGCCCTCCTCTTCACTTCAGATCTACTACAATGATTACAACCTTCAAGTTTCCGGTGAGCCTCTTCTCTGCTTTTTGATCAGTGACTCTATTTTTGGAAAATGCCTGCCCGTATTCTCAATGCTTCTGTGGTTAGGCACTCCTCCTGTAGGCAAGGACTTCTTGATTCCATTTTTCAGCAGATGACACACTCACTTCTGCAAACTCTAAAGCAGTCCTGACCTGTCTCATCCAGTCTATAAAAGAATGAATTTGTGTTCTGATAGCTGATAAGCATTGTTTACCCCTCACCTTAGTTTTCATAATTCAACAGATCCAAGGTTTTCTTTGTGAAGACGGGCCAGAGAGACTTGGTCTAACCCTAACCCAAACCAGATTTTCAATCTTGTTTACTTCTCCCCCACATCTATTTACATTCATCTTCCTCTCAGTGTCTATATTATTAAGTCTTTAAAAAAAAAAACAACAGCTGTTGGGTGGCATTAGCAAAGGGTGAGCAGCAATGGCCCGATTAGCTAACAAACAACAGCATTTACAAAGTGCTTTCTTAGCCACGGCTAAGCTTTGAGGTTACAAATGTGAGACAGTCTCTACCCTCAAAGTGCTTAAATTCTACTTGGAGGATACAACATGTTCACAGACAAAAAAGCACAAGACATATACAAAGTAAAATGACATGGAGAGGGAAAGGAGAACACAAGTCAGTGGGAGAATCAAGAAAGGTCTCTTGAAGAATATGGCTGAGCCCTGAAGGGAACTATGAAGTATGAGGTAAAGGAGAGGAGGAGGGAGAACGCATGCCAAGCACAGGGGACGGCCTAGGTAAAAAAGACAGGAGATGCACTGTTTCACGTAGGAAACAGCAAGTAGGCACATTTCGCTGTGGCATCTGAGGGAGAGAGTACCTACTTTGTTGTTGTTCAGTTGTTTCAGTCGTCTCCAACTCTCTGTGATCCCCTTTGGGGTTTTCTTGGCAGAGACTCTAAAGTGGTTTGCCATTTCCTTCTGTAGCTCATTTTATAGATGAGGAAACTGGAATAGAGTTAAGTGACCTGCCCAGAGTCACAGAGCTAGTAAGTGTCTGAGGCTGCATTTGAACTCAGGTCTTCCTGGCTCCAGAACCAGAGCTCTAACCACTGCACCACCTAGCTGCCCCCAAGAAGTTGCGCATAAGAAGCCTGGAAAGACAAGCTGAAACTGGACTATGAAGGGCTTCAAAAGACAGAGAAGTTTATATCTTATCCAAGACACAGTGAAGCATATCAACTAAGGGAATGGCATCATCCTGTGCTTTAAGAATAGCAATCTGGCTACTGAGTTGTGGAAGCTAAGGAAAAGGTAAACCATCCAACTGGAAGATGGATTGAAGAGGAGAGTAACTGGATGCAAGGAGACCAATCAAAAGATTACTATAATAGTCTAGGTGAAAGGTGATGAGTCAAGTCCACAAGCTTTATGAAGCACATGCTTCACATTCAGGAAGGTGACTGTATGAGCACAGAAAAGGAGGTGGACAGAGAAGTCAATGAGAAGGTGGAATTAAGAAGACTTGGAAACTGACTGGATAGAGGCAATGAGTAAGAGGTGAAAGTTGAGGACAACTCTTAGGTTGCAAGCCTAGGTGACCAGAAAGAGATGGTTCTCTCAAAAGAAACAGGGAAGTCAGGAAGAGGGGAAAGACAAATTCTATACAGACATGTTGATATGGAATAACCAGGTAGAAATGTCCAGCAGGCAGTGGGAGATGTAAGATGGGAGCTTGGTACAGAGATAAGAGCAGGGTAGGTCGACTTGGAAATTATTTGCATAGAAATGATAGTTAATTCCATGGAAGTGATGGGTTCACCAAGAGAGTGTAGAGACAAAAGAGGAGAGATTCATAGCTTTGGTGACAGTCCTCAATGTCTCACTCTTATTCATCCCACATACCCAAACAGTTACTTTTACTAAATCTTGTCACTTTTACCTCCACAAAATCCCTTGCATTTGTCCCTTTCTATCAACATATATGCTATCCATTCTCTATCAGGCCCTTATAATCTCTCTCCTAGACTATCTCAATAGCCTCCTCTTTGGTCTCCCGCCTCAAGTCTCTCCCTACTCCACAGCCAAAGCAAAGCCAGTGTAATTACATGTTGCCTTCCTACTCAAACTCCAATGGCTCCCTAGTATCCCTAAGATCAAACAGAAACTCCTGTGTTTAGCATTTAAAGCCCTTATTCCTAAATATCTGGACCTTTCATGCACATAACAGTCTAGCCAAACTGGACTTCTCACTGCTCCTTAGGTATTCCGCTGAATCTCCAATGCTGTGCTTTGGCACTGGCTGTCTCCAATGCCTGGAGTGGACTCCCTCCTTACTTCTTCTTAGAATTTGTAATTTCCTTTAAGACTCAGTTCCAGTACCACCTTCTACATCAAGGGTCTTTTATGATGGAACCCTCTGGTGATCTGGTGAAGCCTACAGACTCCTCTCAGAATAATGCTTTTAAATGCATAAAAGAAAATACAGAGGATTACAAAGGAAATCACTTATAATGAAACACAGTTCTGAAAATACTAAAAAAAAAGTTCACTGACCTCAGACTAAAAACCCCTGTTCTATAAGAAGTCTTTCCTGATCCCTTCAACTGCTAGTGCTTCCTTCACCACCAAAATTACCTTGTACTATTTTGCATATGTATGTAAATGTCCTTCTCTTCCACAAACTCCAAACTGCAAGCTCCTTAAAGTCAGGCACTGTTTCACTTTTGTCTTTGTACCCCGACCTGGAACAAAGCTTGGGGCTGGGAAACTGCTTAATGTTTACTGATTGAATGTGTCTTTTCCTACCTCCCTAACTGCTTCTTCTGGATCCTCTGGCTCCTCTTCTTCCTGTTTTCCCTAAGGGTGGGAATTGCCCAAGATACAGTCCTTGGCCCCTTGTTCTTCCCTACATTCTTTCCTAAAAAGAAAATTATTCCTTTAGATAATTGCTTAGCTGGAAGCTATTATGTCTGTGTTGATGCCTTTCGAGTCTTGCCTATCAAGTTTGTCTGATTATCTCCAACTGCCTACCAAACATTTCAACTTGTCTATCTCACTGTCACCTCAAATCAATATATCCAAGACTGAACTCACTGTCTCCTACTCCACCACCCTCTCAACCTAACCTACTTCATCTATTTCCCCCAGATATTCAAAACCTCCAAGTTGTCTTTGCGTCTTTCTCCTTCTCATGCCTTATATACATCAGTCACCAAGTCCTATTGCTTCTTCCTTGAAATCTGTCCAATCCATCTGTTCCTCTCTATCTGCACTATCATCACACTAGCCTAGGACATCACCATCTCATATAAGAACTTTTAAAAAAGCAAAAGCTCATTGGCTTGGCACTCACAGTTCTCCACAAACCAGCCCCAACTTATTTTTCCAGTCTAATATCCCATTATGCCCTCCTCTTTAGCAAAAATATCCATTAGACTGTGAGCTTCTAGAGGACAGAGACTGTCTTTTGTATCTTGTGCCTGACACAGTGCTTAATAACTGTTTATTAATTTGCTAAATAGGATTACTATAGAATTTTTGACCTGGAAGGGGCCTTGGAAACAATCTAATTACACTCCTTCATTTGACAGGTGAAGTAACTGAGTCATGTAACTCATTAGTGGTAAAATCGGAACTAGAATTTTGGCTTTGTCCCCTAGTGATTCTGTGATGCTGGGCTGGTCACCTAATCTTTCTGGTTCTAGGTTCCCTTGCCTTAACACAAGCTTATGTTAGATGTTCTTCTAGGTTCCATGCAGCTATAAGTCTAGGGCAAACCACAGTTAAATTTTGTAAATATAAATGTTTTCTCATTTCTCATTACCAAATTGATTAGCTATTTTATGCCCTGGGTATGACTACATTAAAATAATTTTTCCTGCCAATGTAATGCTATAAAAAAAGCACTGACCTTGAAATCAAAGGACATGAGTTAGAATCAGAATCTTCTCTCAGCTACTGAGAGAGTAAGTAAGAATTTGGGCAAGTAATGTAATCTCTCTGGGTCTCAGTTTTCCCATTTGGAAAATGATGGAGTTGAAGTAAAAGATCCCTGAGGCCCCGCCAGTTCTAGATCTCTGAAACAATGATCCCTTATGGAATAGTTCAGAAGAAGCAGGAGCATGTTTTTGGCCTAGCACAGATCAAGCATGGGGCTGATTCCTTCTGTAACCCTGACATCTTGGAAAAGAGTCTTTTGCAATCAAGTTGCTAACCTTCAGATGATTAACTGGCACTGTTAGAAGAAACAGAGAAGACTGAAGATGGATCAGCAAAGAGACCTTGCTGACAAAGATGTACCTTGCAAGTCTTGACTAAATGAAGATACAGCTGTCATTTACAGGGTAATGTCAATAAAATGTTCCAAAGGATACTTTTTGTTCAAAGTATACTTTTGTTCATAACTTATTTCAAGTTGCTATATAAACATATTTCGCATTACACAAAAATAAAATTGAGGGGCAGCTAGGTGACTCAGTGGATAGAGCTCTGGCCTTGGAGTCAGGAGGACCTGAGTTCAAATTTGACCTCAGATACTTGACACATACTAGCTGTGTGACCCTGGGCAAGTCACTTAATCCCATTGCCTCACCACAAAGCGAAAAATAAAATAAAATAAAATAAAATTGAACTGGAACACATTTCCTGACTCCCAATCACTGCTATTTCCACTATGACACACTGTTTAGCTGTTGTTCTTTTCAACAGACATTTATTAAGTACCTACTATATTATATGTCAGCCATTGTTCTAGACAATGCAAATGCAAAAAATGTTCTAGAGGTGCAAAGAAAAAAATGAAAAATCAGTCCTCTAGCAAACTTTCCCTGATAACCCAAACTGAAAGTGCTCCTTCCATCCTCTGAATGCCCAAGGAGTTTTGTACGATCTTATAAGACCTGACACACATAGCTAGGTGGCACAGTGGATAGAGTGCTGGGCCTGGAGACTCCTCTTCTTGAAGAGTTCTTGAGTAAGCCTTAAACACTTCCTAGCTGTGTGACCCTTAGCAAGTCACTTGACCCTATTTGCTTCAGTTTCCTCATCTGGAAAATGAACTGGAGAAGGAAATGGTAAACCACTCCAGTATCTCCACCAAGAAAACCCCAAATGGGGGCACAAAGAATCGGAGTGACTGAAAACAACTTAACAACATGGGATCTGACAACTTCTTACTACAGTTCTGTACCTGTCTCGCCTACATCAGTGTAAGTTCCTAAAAAGCAGGCACCACGTCTAATTCATCTTTACATCACCCACAACAGGGTCTAATAACACAGCGCCCTACACATAACAGATAATCAGTTAATATTTGTTAAACAGCTTCCTAACAGACTTTACCACCTTCAAGCTCTCCATGCTTCAAAGAGATCTCTATTTCTTAGCTAGACTGATAAGCTGTGAGAAGGCAGTGTGGTATGGCGGACTGAGCACTAAACTTTTAGTCAGAAGGCCTGAGTTCAAGTCCTACTTCTACTACATGTTAGCTTCCTGAGTGTCATGGAGATAAATATCTGCACTACTCTCCTTACAGGGTTAGAGAAACTATGTGGTACCATGCACAGAGCCCTGGGCCTAGAGCCAGGAAGACCTGAGTTCAAATCTGGCCTTAGACACTTACTAGCTGTGTTAACCTGGGCAAGTCACTTAACCCTGTCTGCCTTGGTTTCCTTGCCAAACCATTCCAGTATCTTTGCAAAGAAAACCCCAAGCTGAGGTCACAAAGAGATGGACATGACGGAACAATAACAACAATCTCAGGGGATTATGTTTTACCATAGAGTGCTACAGAAATGATCTATTCTCATTTTCCTAAAACGTGTGTTGTTTTTTTTTTTTTTTAAATCTTATCACCTTTTGCCACAAACACTTCCAATGGCTATTACCTACAGGAAGAGCCCAAACTTCGAATCCCTGCATTCAAAATTCTCTACCATCTAGCCCCACCTTGGCTATCCAAATTATCCGCTCCCACTACCTAACAAGAACAGCTCGGAGCAGGGAAGGTCCACAAACACACCACACTTATTCCTGGCTTTGGGCCTTTCTTCATTCAGCTCTTTGGGCTTTCTCTCCCTTACCTATCTAAATCCTATTCCTCCTTCAAGTGGCACTCATGTGGGACTCATATGAGGTCCTCCCTGGCCGTCCTGGCCCCTGTTCTTGGCCATTCTGGGCACTGACCATCTATGACTCCCTTAGGGGCACCATGACCTTGAGGGCTACTCCTGCCTCTGACACAGCCAGGCTGTGTAACCGTGGGCTAGTCACTGTCTATCCTCCCTGAAAGGAAACCAAGAAATCCCGGGTTTCACTGGGACCACCGGAGCCTGCCTTATCCCCGTAGTTATGCAATGCCTCGCAAGCCCGCCCCCCGCCCCCAGCCGGACGAGCCAGGCGGCCTCCCGGCCCTGCCGGGCAGGAGCCACTCCACGGGCCGTCCCCTGCCCGCGGCCCCCACGCGTGGGGCGCTCCCCCCTCGTCGTCCCAGCTGCGGGCCTCCTCCCGGCCCCTCTACAGGAAGCCTGTCCCACTCCCTCTCGCCCTAGCGCCCACACGACGGGGCTCTCCTCGAGGGCAGGATGTCTCCCGGTGTCCCGGACGCTCGGCACACAGCAGGCGCTTAACACGCGCCTGGCAGCCCCGGGCACAGGCAGCTCAAGCGGGGGTTTCCTAGCGCACGGACCGCGGACTGGAAGGAGCCTCGGAGGCCCTCTGGTCCAGCCCCCCACCCCTTGACAGAAGGGGAAACTGAGGCCCGGGAGGGTCCCACGCACAGGTGGCAGGGAGCCCGAGGCCGCGGCGGCGGGCACGCGCAGGCTCCCCGCCCGGGGCGCTGGGCCTCAGCCCTCTGGCCCGGGGCCACGACGCCGGGCGGGGACCGTTCCCGGGCCCGGGATGCCGGGGGTGGGGGGGATGGGGGAAGAGAGAGGAGGGCGGCGCGGCCCGGCCCCGCGACCTGTCACGGCCCGGCCCCGCCCGGCCGCGGCCGCAGCCTTGACCCGAGGCCCCGCAGCCAGCCCCGGCCCGGCCCGGCCCCGCCCCGCCCCGCCCGGCCTCAGCCCCCGCCCGGCCCCGGCGGCGCCTCACCCGGGACAGCGTGAGGTCCGTCATGAGCTGCTCGAAGGCCCGCGTCTCCTCGGCCTGACGCTGCGTGTGCAGCGCGATCTTCTCGCTGAACTTGCGCGGGTTCGCGCTGCCCGAGCCGGGGGACGCAGCCATGGCGGCCCGCGGCGGAGGCGGAGGGCGCGGGCCTAGCCGCGGCCGCCCGGCCCGGCCTCGGCCCCGCTGGCCTGGCCCCCGGCCTCGCTCCGTTCGGTCCGCGCGCCCGACTCCGGCGGCGCAGGAGGAGCCGCCGAGGCAGCGCTCCCAGACCGACCCCACAGCCGCCCGCCCGGCCAGCCAGCCAGCCAGCGAGGGAGGGAGGGAGGGAGGGAGGAGGGAGAGACTGCGGGAGGGAGGGAGCGAGCCAGGGAGCCCAGGGCCCCGCCCCGCCCGGGGGCCCGCCCCGCACCCCCCAGGCTCCGCCCCCGGAGCGCCGCCTCTCTGAAGCCGCCGGGCCAGGCCGGCCGGGGAGCGAGCGAGCGAGAGAGGGAACCGAGGACCCCGCCCCGCATCCCGCGGCCTTGCAGCCCCCGGCTCCGCCCCCAGCTCCGCCCCCGGCGCGCGGCCTCTGAGGCACCCCGGCCGGTCCAGCCTCCAGGGAGCGAGCGAGGGAGCCCGGGGCCCCGCCCCCCCGAGGCCCCGCCCCCGGCGCGCGGCCTCTCTGAAGCCGCCAGGCCCGCCTGGCTGGGGCCCCCAGCGGGGAGGCTGCGTTGTAGCCGCGTTTCCGGGCGGGCCCTGCCCGCTTCGCCCCGCCCCGCCTGGGCGGCCGCGGGGCACCCCGGGGTGCGGGCTGAGAGCTTCGTCACTTAGAGCTGGCCTTCGTTTCTCCTGGCTCCAGCTCGTTTGTCCATACTTGTAGGCGTGTGGGCGTCCCCTTTAGACTGGGAGCTCCTTGAGGGCAGGGGCTGCCTTTTGACTGTAGCCCCAGGGCTGCGCACGGCCCGCAGGAAAGGAAAGCCTGTGCCCACCACGTGGGCAGCGGGGCAATGGACAGAGTGCAGGGCTTGGAGCCAGGAAGACTTACAGAGTTCAAATCCGGCTTCAGGCACTTCCTAGCTGGCTGACCCTGGATAGGTCACTTAACCCTACTTGCCTCAGTTTCCTCCTCCGTAACATAAGCTGGAGAAGGGAAGGGCCAACCACTCCGGTATCTCTGCCAAGAAAACCCCCGATGCAGTCACGAAGTATCGGCACGACTTAACAACCACCACCCACACACCTACTGCAGAGAGTGCCCACACTGCAAAGATCTCGCCCTAGCCTAGTCACTCCTGGCTGTGAACAAAGTCCCAACTTCTCTGTGCCCTGGGGCAGCAGGTGATCTGCTTTGGAAGTTTCCTCCCAGGGAGAACCTTAAGCCAATGAAATCACAGGTCCCTCCGAATTATATATATTCACTCATACATATGCAAGCCTATAATTTACATTAGAGAATAGCCCAGAAAAGATTACATCTCCCAAGGGCCTCAGTTTCCGTGTATGTATGTACGTATGAAGACCTGGACAGGAAACCGGGGCAAGTCAAAACCTCCCTGGGCCTGTTCCCTTTTAAGTGAGGATTATCATATATCAGATAATGAAATAATGTATGCAAACCACTTTGCAAACTTTGAAGAACTTGATGAATGCCAAGTGTCATATCCCCAAGGTCCTTTCTGATTAAGAATGTAAGTCTAGCTTCTGAGGCCCCAGCAGTCCTAACCTGAAAGGCAGCAACACAGAGCCAAGATCCCCAATGTCCAACATGCCCAATGTCCTGACTGTTCTTCATGTGGTGACCAGATGTAGTAATAATTTCAAGAACAGCTCACCTTCATGTAGTGCTTTCTATAAGCCAGGCACTGCCGCTAAGCACTTTATAATTATCTCATGAGATGTGATCTTAGTCTAAACAAACCTCACCAACTACTGTATCCTGTTGTGAACAAACTGGAAAAACTGCATAAGTCATTATCCCCTTCTTTCTTACCCCACGAGGGCCACTTCACCCTGCACAGGTGGCTTTCTCTCTCTCTTGGGTTAGTCCCACATTATCTCTGTTCTTTGACCAATATCTCAGCTCCTCAGTCTTCAACTGTTTTTCCTTTCCATTTCAGCCCAGGAGGATATACACAACACTAGTCTGGGCCAGTTCAAACACTACATGAATATGATTCTAAATAAGCAAGTTTTTAGTGACTACATCATATTGTTGCTTATAGACTTCTTGGTCTTGAAGTTGGCTGTTTTGGTATCCACTCTCTCCACCATTACTCTCTACCCTGTCCTTTCCCTAATAATTCAGTTTTCCATGTCAACATTTTTTTGGGGGGGGGAGGGCTAGGCAATGGGGTTAAGTGACTTGCCTAGGGTTACACAGCTACTAAGTGTCAAGTGTCTGAGGCTACATTTGAACTTAGGTCCTCATGACTCCAAGGCCGGTGCTCTATCCACTCTGCCACCTAGCTGCCCCCATGTCAACATTTCAGACCTCCCTTTGAGTCTCATAGATTCCTGGAATGCTCACTAGAGAGCACAAGTTAGCAGTTACCAAAAGGAGTTATTACCAGTTTCTCAACTGCAAATTTTTGGTCCAAAATTCTAATATAATTGACAAATATGGACAGAGTTCAGAAAGGGACAGTATCTTCCTTGTAAAAACAAAGGTTAAGGCACTCCTAAACTGTTTACTAGAAAAATGTTATGTCCAAAATGTTCCAACGTTTTTGAAGGGTGTAAGATGTCCCTCCCACAACAGCACAAACTGACTTTTAAATTTAGCTCTACTTCAGATAGTCTATTATCTTTTGCTAGTTTTATTACGCTCTCATCCCAGGTGTACACAAAAAATCACTGCAGAATGACTGGTCCAGGCTCCTCAATAGGGTGTCACTGAAGCCGACCACTTTTCATCATCCTCTGCTGTCATCTACCTACCTTTCCCCTAAGAACAGGCCACTAATCATTTCTCTGTCACTAGTGAGAACAAACACCAGACTTACTCCCACATTTGGCACAATCCACAGTACTGTGCCACTGTCCCTCCCGTAATAGCTGCTTGTACAACTTAAACCTTTCAGCATTCAGCAGTTAAGATGAATCAGACTCTGTTATAAGGGAAAAAACTGAGTCCAATTCAACAGATATTTTGTATATAATATTATAAATATATTTTGAAGTAGTTTTGAGGCAGATTTCTAGGAGCTCTTTTTTTGCTTCAATCTGCTTCTCAATACTACAGGAAGTGGGAGTTGTTGCATTTTTTCAGTTACTCATTCTCATTTTAACAAAGATTGTGTAATCCACTCTTACAAAGTAGGCAGAGTAGTAGTGATCAGGAACTGATTAAACTGCAACAGAGAGAAACAACATGAACAAATGACCTTTTATTTCGTTGAGAGATACAAAAGACAATTTTTTTGTGCCAATAAATGAAACAAGCAGCCCAAATTCCTGGGAGTAAATAAATTGGCAACAAATGTCATGATGGCTGGTAAGGAGGGGTGGCCTAAGAGGGAGAAAGCAGCTGGAAGGATCCTATAACTAATAAATAAAACAGTAATAAAAGTTACAAAGTTCCAATGTCCAGACCTGAAAATATATCAGTTTTCTCCAATGTATTAAAAAAATTGCTTCAAATATTATCTCCATGAAAATTCTTTAACTCTAAAGGGTTCATGCTTAATGTCTTGCATTAGAGATTATATTCAGCGAACAGGTAATTTTTACAAAAAAGCAAAATGTCCCTATTATATAGCCCCTTGTAGACTTTGGTCATCACTGCAATGCCTGGTTGAGGGTGGGGCCCAAAGGAGAGTAGTATCCTTTTCTTAAAAAGACTGGATCTTTGGTCCCAGTTTTTGAAACTATTACTGCAATCTTTAGTTTACTTTGTTTTCCAAGAAAAATGCATTTACAGAAAAAAAAATTAATTCAGGACAGTCCCTAAAGTCATGGCAGTGGAGAATTCCCATGAGTTATTACACTTCATTCCTTCTCTAGTTATATGGTTAAATTTTTCCTGCCTAAATCACCTCTCAGATGTCTTGGAATATAAAGCACTGAGTAACATACACGTCATCAATCCTGTGTAACTGACCGAGTAGAGAGTCCACACTAAAAAATAATTCTCTGGTATTTACAACTGCAACAAGAACACACAGCTAGTTACCAATGGCTATTTCTTAATGTGCTTCACTGGAAAAACACATCAGTCCACTTCAAAATGCTGATATAAATGGTTTATGTGTGCTTAAAAATGTTGTTTAAATTGGGCTAGAGATAGTTTTATACCTTAAGGAATACTGAACCAAAACCATAGGAGAAAATGGCATGATTTTAGTAAGTATTCCTAAAGACAGGATGTTTGCTTGTTTTTCTTTAAAAGTATATGACATGTATTATTCCCAAATAGATGTCTTATCCATCCATGCTTTTTGTCAAGGCCTAATTTCTTAGGACTAAAAGCCTCTTAAAAGCAGGGTTCGTAGTTAAAGATACTAACGGAATCAGCAAAAAAACAGACAAAGGAGAAACTGGTACAAGAATCAGGACTTAGAATATAGTATGTGCTGATCAAATATATTTTTGTTTTGGTTCAATTTACAGTAAGGCAGGGCTGTCCCTCTGCAACTCTGCAGTTGAGTCCTTATAGTGTTGTGGCTATAAGAAATTTCTAAGAGTTCAGATATACAGATAAGCTAGTTTTATTTTATTATTAAAAAATTCCTTTTCTTATAGCACTCTAAAGGCTTCTGAAGCATTATATAAATCTTTAAAATACCCTATTCCCCTTATTTTATTAATAAAAAAACACAAAATATATTTTTATCTGCAGGCGAGCAACCATAAAGAAATCCCTTAAGAACTGAGACAGATTAATCTATGTTAATAAGGCACCTTAAAGCAACAAACCAAAATAATCAATCTAGATAATGTTAGATCTAAAACCACCCATTAAGGGATGAGGTGGGATGCCTTCCTAAATTGGCCCACCCCGGTGTCCCTGGAGGGCGGCAGGTAACCTAGCAGGGAGCCTGGCCCACTCTTGAGTACATCAATTCTTCGTCACCTGAACCCTCCCATAAGGATGGACATACATACATGGTCCACTTCGAAGTTCTTCTCCCTGGGCAGAATAGCATCTCCACTGGCTACTGCACACAGGGAACCAAGATGGCAAAGATCAGATGAGAACACATTTCCCACAGCATTATGTCTTACTTGGAGAACAAAAGACCCAATTTAGCTTCAATCTGAACCATTAACTGGTCTCTGCTTATACATTCAGACGTGGGAAGGCTACATGTGTACATGTCCATAAAGAGTTATAAATTTTTTTTCTAACTGGTGCCAATATTGTCCATCTACGTAATTAACAAGAACCCGACCATTCACATTTCTAATTAAAGGAAGATCCCAAAGCTCAAGATATATCCAAGTAACCACTGAGCCTGTAACAGCCTATGGGAAAAGGTTTTTAGTGGATTGAGTTTCCACTTTTTCCTTGGGTGTCAAATGACAGAGAAGAAAATGAAGTAATCCAAAAGGTCAGCGGAAGCCTGAGTTATTAATTCACTGTGACAAGGGAATGACAGAAGTTCCCCAAATGGGAGGAGATGCAGTTTGGCATTGGGAGTGTCTCTGGCTCCAACGGGTGAAGCACATTACAAGGTCATTACACGGTGCTCCTTCCCCCGTGGTCTTCTTGCCCTCGGCAGATGTGGCCGACCAACGATTATTTCCCGTAGAATTTCTTGTTGAGCAGGAAAATCAGGAGGTTGACATTGACTTTCGCTCTATCAAATAGTTTCATGACAGCAACCCCTTCG